AACCTTGGAGGCGGAGGGGAGATTTTAGGTTTCTGTGAGTAAGGAGGGATTTAGTAAAAGCATCCAATAGTGTCGTCGATGAGCGTTCACGTGAGCGCTAACGGAACTCATCTGTCCCGCTGTGCCTTCGGCCTCGACAGAGGTCCTGACACCCACAGCAGTTGGCATTGTGGACCTAAACCGTCAAGACAACGAGCTCGTGACTTTATGTTTCGAAGGTTAGACTCTGATCAAAAATGTCGCGAGTTCAAGGCTCGGGTGGCACACCAAACAGGTCTGGCTATGACTGGCTGACGACAGCTATTAAGCCAGAAATGGCCATTCCATTTTCCCTTATCTTTGCCGGCAATACTGTCGGCCTATAGAGTAGCCTGTTTGAAAAATGTGGGCTTTTCTTGGCTTAAAGAAGATTACCAAAGACTGGCAAAAGCGAAAGAAACGGCAAATAACACGATGATAACGCCAAATACCTGTCCTAAACAAGCCTTGGTTCACCAAACTGAACCAAATACAAGCAACTCAAGATTTATCCTGCCAAAACAGTGAGAAGCCCTCACTACTCTGAGGTAGAGCGATCTCGTCGTCAAGACAACACAATAACAGAAAGCATGCGAGAGCAAAAAAGTACTAAGCCTGCAAGTACAATAAAAGCCACAAAACAAGAGAGGACTTACTTCGATTTCGGCATGGTATTGAGGAGTGCAGAAGCCCTCACAAGCGGCCTACGGGATAAGAGAAAGAAAATCATTGAAAATTTCTCGTTTACAAGTGCGGTTGTCTTCGGTTCTATCGGCAATACTTTAAGAACATAAAAACTAAAAAGAGAGGTTTTAGTGCCTTGATAAGGCTAGCATCGAGTGTAGGGAACTACCAACCGAATTTAATCACTTTTTTGTCCATCATACTTGGTGTGAGTGACGTTGGAGGAGGGGTATACTCTAATTCTGTTCTAGCAAGTCAACTGTACAGTGCCGTGGAGATGAGCCTGTTAATCTAACCTTAAAGGTGGTAGGCAATATCTTTGAAGACGCAATTCTTAAAAACACTGCATGCGTCATAAAGTGGGCATGCGCGCAAATCGATGAGCAGTGGGTGCACACTACTATGATTGTTTGAGTAGTGCCAATATTATACATATTATAAATGTTTGATTATTTAAATATTTATTCCCTTTAATTTTCTGCTTTTAATTGCTAAACTTTTTAATATGCTCTTTTCTTTCCTGCGATATGGCCCAACAATAAAATCCCTATTAACACCGAGCCCGTAGGACACAATTATGGGGCTAGCGATCTCCAAGAACCTCGGCCAAAAGTTCAAAAGGCTAACACAAGGTACTAGTCGGGTGGTGAGAGATGAAGCATGATATGATGGGCCGCCAGAAATCTTGACGCAAAACACCTAAGCATAAAACCAAAGACTGACGATCACAGTGATGCTATTCGATAAATGCTACTCAACAGAAGGACAAGTTCTGGCCGAAATGTGTACCTCCTCGCTACGAACTACCCTTCGCGTGGTTTCGCGAGCGACAGGCCTAGGTATGTGATGCCCAGTCCAGGTAGAACTGATCGAGGGCACTCCAGCGAGCAAGCAGCCCCAGAGAGAGATAGACATGGCTCAGATAAACCAATCAGCCAGTCAGGCAGTCTAGATGCGTAGGTGCAAAAAACTGTGGGATTCAGTTAAAAAACGAATACCCACATTCTGTTCTCAATCCCAACTCAGGTCAAACAGTGGTAGTGTGAAGATGAGGATGGCAAGTTCAAAAGCCTAGAGTGCTGGGGGAGGAGCGGGGGCTGTTCAGACAACGCGAAGGTTCCAGCTTACCCGAATAACGTAGGCGGTCAGGTTGGGGCGTCCGATCGTCTCGTCCAGGTTGTCGATGTGCGTCTGGATGAGCTTGAGAACAGCACGGCGACCGGCTGGCGAGGAGGAGAGACTCATGAGTGGGCGTAGACGGTCCTGTTTTCGAACAAAGTCCGACACAGCCAG